TGATAACATCTATTTTTTTTTATTTTTTTTATTTTAGCTGAGCCATCCTGCCACCTGTTGGCAGCTCAGCGGCAGCTCAACTCGGGCCGGACTCGAACCGCTGTTGCTCAGAGCTCAAACCCTTGAGCGAGCTCTTAACCAACTGAGCCACTCAGCCGGCCCAACATCTATTTTTAATGTTGACTGATACTTTGGGAATCCGAGCCCTAAAGTATTTGACTCTCTACCAGTAAGAAACTGCGGATCAGATTTTTAAAGTTTTTGTGACTATATATTGTTTAATTCATCATAAAAGTTTTTAAATCATATGTATTTCACAGTCTCTTTCCAAAATGGTGTCACTGATGTGTTCCTCAGAAGAATTTCAGATCTAGGTTATTGTGTCTTACATAATGCAGACATTTTAAGAAGAGTGTCAATGCGTAAAAGCTTTAACACCGACTGGGTGAGAAAATTCACGTCAGTTGGGTCTCTTACCCTCCACTCGTGACCTCAGGCAGGCTTCCTGCTGATCAGCTCATGTGTGTGCGGGGTGCTGCTCAGTCAGGAGAGACTGGCAGCTGCCCTGCAGACACACTATGTGCCCAGAGCACCCAGAACATGCTTGGAAAACATCCCTCCATTTGCGTCGTTTTCAAGCAGCAGGAAAATCTCCGTAAAGATATTAAACACATTTCCAAATCTCAGGGTAGGTAGAGACGAGGACAAATGGTAGGATGTGTGGCTCCCAGTGGGCATCCCCTCAGCTGGGCCAAATGCTTCTGTCACAAAGTCACTCTTGACATTGGGAGTGATCCGCAGGCCTCACTGGGAACCCTGGCCCACGCTCGTCACACAGCACCAACCCACAGTTCTGACCCCACCAACTACTTACCATTTTGAACCATGCAGTGCAAAATTTGTTCAATTACTGACACCACGTAGCTAGCATCCTGTAAAACAGGTAAGTAAGTGTGCTCTGATGAAAACACCTCGAGCATTCTCATTGGAAGTGCGACATTCAAACTGTCATCGTTACAGTTTTGCAGCAACCTGTAAAAATCAAGAAAAGTGTTCACATACTTGCTTGCATGTATGTGGCAAATGTCACCAGAAGCTTCCTCAGGTGACCGTCCCTCACTGTGCTCAGTGTGGGAGCCGCTCTGTTCTAATAACAGGATAGCTCCAGAGAGAGGCACGACTCAGACCACAGCAAAACCATCACATGCTCTGTCATGCACACCTTTTTTCAGTCCGTATTATGTGCCAAACAGCAATGTTGGCACTGGGCTTACAGAAATGAAAAATGCACAATCACAGAGGGAGAAACAGATGAGAAAACTCGAAGACCACAAATTCAGTGTGAGAAGTGTTACAATCCACGGACTGTACCAAGAGAAGCTACCCCTAAATCAACTCAGATAAGGATGTCTTCTCTTTAAAAGTGCCTATTACCTCCGTCAAAGATGTCTTCAAGATGTCCCAGGCCTGCAATCTCCCCTCCGTTAAAACCTACTTCTGGCCCTGAGTCATCAATCATTTTGACTAAAGAGAATGATATGAAAATCACAGGCAGAAGGGAAGGCGCAGCTGTCCTGAAATCACGTCTCACTTAAAAGCAATGTCTTTTCTTACAATCAACTGTATACAGACATCACTTCCATACGACAGTGCCCCTCACTGAAAGGAGGCCGGGAGGGGTGACAGATCCTGGCACAAAGGAGACCTGGCCTTAGGGACGGGCAGGAACAAGCCTGTGTGTGGGCCTGCTCCATTCTCCTGGGCTATGGATTTAACTGTAAGAAACCACCGGGCCTGCCCAGCAGTCCCCTGGCCCAGCTGCGCCCCACGCTGCACCCTTGGTGTCACCATCCTAATGGGTATGCAGCTGTGATTGGAATTTATTTCCCTGATTATTTATGAGGTGGAGTACCTTTTCAAGGGCATATTGGTCATTCATGTCTCCTTTTCAAGAGCACTAAAATCTATTTTAACTGGGTTAAATTTTTTTAACTGGGTTGCTTGTTTCTTGGGGGGAAAAAAAAAGCTGTACTTGCCCCTGTCCAAGGCCAAACCCTAGAGCCCTCCAAACACACCCTGACTGCTCACTCGCGCAGAGGCTCGGCTCCAGCTATCCTCCGCGTCCTCCCGCCCCAGTGCTCCGTCCACACTGGACCATCAGCAAGCAGGCAGCCAGTTTTTCTAAGTCAGAGACCATCTCCGGGTTCCACTGCCCTCACCAGCTCCTAGTCCACGTCTGAGCTCCCTCGCAGAACTACTTATATTACTAGTTTCTGTTAACCCTGCTCAGTCGGACCTGCCCCCTCCACTGTTCCCATCAAGGTCACCAACAGTGTTACTGTTGGGAAGAGCTGCCCAAGACTGTGAAACGGGGGAAAAGGAGAGAGAAGGAGGTTACTGGGGGCCTGTCCAGCTCCCCACTGGGTGACGTTGTCAACAGACCCTTTCATTCGGGCACCAAGGGCTCACGGCCCCTAACCGTGCTCTTCTGGAAACTGAACCCAAGAAGGTCACGGTGGTGACTTGGTTCAAGTTCATACCCAAATCACACTGGGAGCCTGTGATCTGGCAGAGACGCTGGAGGCGGGGGCCTGCTCACAGCAGGCATCCTCTCGACCGGCCAGTCCAATCACTAGTGACCCAGACGTCATCTGGAAGGAACGTCTAGCTACGTTTTAATGTCACAGGCCAGAATCACCAGGAGTGAAACGTCTCACACACAGAATGTTCCACAGTCTCACAAACAAACAAAACCACTGTCTCTCAGACAGGGGACACCAAAAGGTATCCCTCCAGACATCCCAGGTGTGACTGCCACGGGTTACCTGCAGCAGAGGCTCATCAGCCTCTTTATCTGAAATAAGCATGTAAGTCTCTCGGATCCATCCAACTGCTGGACAAACAGAGAGCTGTGTTTAATTAAGTTCTGATACATCCATATCTGAAAGAGCAAAACAGACAAATTACAACTCTCAATCCATAAACAGCTAACTGCTTACTGAAGTACACGATGTCCTGAGGTGGTGAACAGATACTTAGTCAAAATTAACCAGAACACGGTAAGAAGTAAATCTCTCGTGTCAGGTTTTACTTAGAAGCATACATGTTTTGGATTTTCCACCTTAAAATGGAACATCAGTATTAAGCTAAATTACTGAACTTATTACCAAAACAAAGTACACTTAAAACTCATGTAAATCTGAAACAAAAACTGTTCATTTGCAAACATCAGCATTCCATAATAAAAATATATGAGAAACAATTGTAATCGTAAGTTACACAGGCATCTGTTTCTCCTTCTTACCTTTCTCCCCTGTGCCTCTAACATCCTTTCCTTTCGGATGCTCCACTTCCCTAACTCCTGGACATTGGCACTCACACGGCCCCACTATCCCCTGTAAAAAGGTCAGGCGTGCAATGCTGAGGCGATGGCTGTGGACCTAACTAGACGGGAGGTTCCTTTCACAGTGTGTATCGCGGTGGACACTTTCAAGGTTTTACAACTTCGTTTGTCAAGGGCACCTCCATCAGCTGGAAAACAAAGGCCTGGTGTGTGTCCGGGCTGCCCGAGATCCCATTCCGTGGACGGGGTCGCTGGTCAGTCCAGCAAATGTCACACCTGCCTCCAGGAGGCCTGACTATGCGGCCGCCATAAGCGATCCTGAAACCAACCCCTAACGAAGAGCTTCTTGCACTTTCTCTGCTGGGCTTCTGTTTGCTCACTTCATAGGGCCCATCAGCACCAGTTAAAATGAAGACGGCCTCCTAACCGTGGCTCAGCATAAATGTGCACGGACTTCTTTTCTACCTGGTCTCCTGAAGGTGTTTCTCTCTGACAGTAACGCTTATCTGATATAAAATGTATCAGACAACTAAAATACCAATGCAAAAGTCTTCTGCATAGCTAATTAAAGAGTGGTCCTGAACTGGGTGGAAAGAACTCGTGGAAAGAGCTCCAAATACTGACGTGCCTACACACAAGCTTTCTTTTTGAGGTGTTTGTAGCTACCTTGTTCATATTTTCTCAGGAACCAGTATGATATGAAAGCTTTCTGCACCATCTGACACACAGTTCATTCCAAAACCTGTGCTATAACGAATAGAAGTAGGGCACAGTGACTAAGCATTGTGAAAATCTAAAGGGCAGCGGCCATAGGAAGCGCGAGCATAAGGCTATAAATGTATTAACCCAGCAGCTGTGTTTCACGTCGTCTATGAAACTTAAGAAACTCACACCAGTATGATACTTTCCCTGAACTGGACTGGGCTTTGATACTATGTTTATAACTATATAAACTATGACAGATGCACCGATATCATCCAGAAAGTTCTAGCATCATTACATTAAACACTTGACTTAACTTTTTGTTGCTGGTATTATTTACTAAACGCAGGTAAGTTTTAAAAACTCTCCTTCTTAGTCATCCTTTCTCAGGAAGTCAAGTAGGGATGTGCATCCACAGAACAAGAGAGCAAAACCAAGAGAGCAAAAGACAGCAAGTCGGGAGGGAGGGTCTGAAATGGAAGCAAAAGGTGTGCCCAGGATCCCGCCCAGGATCCCGGCAGGCCTGGAGGGCGACCGAGCCACAGTCAGGAGGGACAGCTCCAGCTCCTTCAGGGGAGACAGAGGTGGATGACCTGACACCATTAACCGTGGAAAACTGACTGGGAAGCGCTGTACAGCACAGTTGGAAGGCGAAAGGCAGCTTTATCAAGATTCCAGGAAAATTAAACAAGAGTAAGGCAACTGTTAACTCCAGAATAAGTCAAGAAAACTGTGCACAAAGGAAAACACACTCACAGGACACTATTTTAGTAGCGCACACGTTTCAAGTCATGAGGATATAAATAAGGGGGGAGGGAGGGCGGCCACGTGGGCTTACTTCTGCAGCTGCAGCTTAGAACCGCTACCAGACATGGCATCACGCTTGCCGCGAGGGTGGAAGTTAGGGAACCTGAGGACTGGGGCAGGGGACTCCCCCCAATATATGACTAGTTTATTGTCCCTGCATTGTTGTTTGCAAACTGAGTCACTATTCAAGCTCACGCCCGTCCTATTACCCAGGTCTGACGGCATTAATCCCTGCAGGGTTCAGAAGCCACACCTGAGCGACTGGCTGTGGTCTGCACACACGGTCACCTCCCTGCTCTTCACTGGCGGCTGTGGAAGTGGGACAGTGCAGCCGCACCCCCAGGCACCATGCGGGCTGCTGACAGGACCGGCTCACAGAGCAAGCGTGGCAAGAGCAGCTCTCCAGAGGACAGGGTGCTCCGAGAGCCGTACACGACGGACAGCCCCACAGCACCCCATGTCTGTGCTGTTGGGGATCTTTCAGCCCACAAGGTCAGAGTGCCGAAAGCTGGACGGACTGCTCCGGAAAGAAGCCAGATTCTCTGCTGCTGCGCTTTCCCAATTCTTCTCCTAAACCTCAGCCAGAAAGCCTGGGAAGAGCCTGCGATCGAGGGAAGCACAGGGGCGGATGCAGCCTCTGCGCGGCCTCTCTGGACTGGCTCTCGTTTACGGAAAGTTCCGCCCCTGCTCCAGCCTAGCTCAACTCAGGAAGCAATGCTGCGGTTTAAAGCAAACGCCAGATAAGCAATAAGGACTCCTCGGTCCCCGTCCGTATTACTCATCTACCCGTCTGTACACATTTCCCCATCAACACACTGCTTGTCACTGATGACATTAGAACCTATAAAATTTAAAGTAATCCAACTATATTTCTGATGTTGTAAGAGAGAGGTCCTGTGTTCTAGAGGCTTAAAGTGTTTACAGGTGATAGGCCACGATATTTAGGGTGCACCTGGCAATGATGGAAGGCACAGGTGTGGAAGGTTCTGTGACACCAAGTGACAACTGCCATAGGTGCATGGTGGGTGGCTCAACATTACTTTTTCTTATTTTTAAAAAATTTTCCATAATAAAAAATAAAAAGAATTATTGAAAATTTATATCAATGTTCAAGAGGTAAAAACACGTTATCAAGATGACCTATGACAGGCAGCTGAGGAAAAGTTCACGAACGTGAGACACATAGGAGGAGGTCATCGGACCATATTTTAAAAAGCTGGACAGTATGTCAACAAGAATAAGTCTAAATGTAGTTAACACTCACCAAACGTTTTGAGTCTTCGTTCTGTTTATAAAAAAACAGAAGCTGCCTCACCAAAAGGGTAAGGTTGGGACCATTACCAATGGAAAAAGTGCCACCAGACTGTGACAAGTTAGCGCAGCGGTCAAAAGCACTTCTTTGGATGGAATACTGAAAAGAAAACAAAACAAATTAATAAGTATACAGGCACATATTCACGGCCTAAACATACACTTAACAGGAGTGGGAGACACTGATAATTAAGATGCCTACTGTGGAGTTATCAGCAAAAGGCTAAATAGAAACAAAAAACTTGGAATGTAATGACAGACCCATAAATGTCCCTGAAAATCTTCCACCACTTCCTTCTACTTTGATCTTTAGCTGTGGTTTAGCCTATGTATGCATCTTACTGTTTAAAAATAACCTCGAACTCACGTATCTATAAATCTTCATGTAAATATAAACTAATACAATTAATTATTGGGGGAAATACTATTATCAACATTAACTTTCATTAAACAGGTATACAAAAAGACAGACAAAACAAACTCCACTTCTAAGACTCCACGGTCATTATTTAAAATGAGCTCTCGGGCCGGCCGAGTGGCGCGATGGTTAAGAACTCGCTTGGGATGCCAGAGGGCCCCGGTTCGGATCCCACATATGAGGGCCAGTGACATTGCCCTCCACAGCTAAGATGCTGAACAACAGCTCAACCTGGAGCTGGGCTGCCATGAGTCGCCGGCGACGGCGTAGGCTGCACTCCCTGTGGCAGTGGGTTGCCATGGGCTACCGTATGTAGCCAGCAGCCAGCGTGAGCAGCCAGCAGCCGCAGTGAGCGGCCGTCCAGAAGCCGGCGACTGATCTGCCTCGCCAGAGAAGAGCGCAATGATGGTGCCAACTTGGGCCAGTGAAGCAACATCCTCCACAACTAGATTGAAGAACAAAACGACAGCAACTTGTCTGTTCCCCTTCCCCCAATTCCCCAGCACTGTTCCCATCCCCCCAATTCCCCAATAAAAAAAAAAATAAAATAAAATAAAAATAAAATGAGCTCTCATATGCCTTTCTAATTCTCGATTTATAAACAAACTTACTTGCTGTTTTCTGTCTCGATAGCCTCGAATAAATGACTGGATAATTATTGCATTTTTCAATCTTCGCCTTTCTTCCTGGATGATGGAAGGAGGAGGGAATAATCAGTCAAAATCAGTGAAAATGACATTTAGTTAGTAAACTTTTAAAAAAAAAATTACAGCTATATTAATTCACATACCACAAAATTCAATCTGTTGAGTGTACGATTCACCAATTTTTAATATGTTCAAGTTTGTGCAACCATCACCACTAATTTTAGAACACTGTCATCACCTACCCCTCCAAACCCCTGTACCCATGAGCAGTCACCCCTCATCCCCGCCCACCCTCCCCCACACTTCCCTGCCCCTGGAGACCACTTCGATTTCTGTCTGTGTGGAACTGCCTATTCTGAGCATGTGTGGCTTTTTCACTTGGCATGATGTTTCAAGGTTCATCCATGCTCCATCATGTATCAGGACTTCACTCCTACAGATCGATGGCCAATTAACTGTCCTCTGTACGGATGCCTCACATTTTGTTTATCCATTTATTAGCTGATGGACATTTGGGCTGTTTCCACTTTGGGTTATTTATGAATAATGCTGCTGGGGATATTCGTGTAAAATTTTGGTGTGGACAAGTGGTTTTCATTTCTCTTGGGTGAATACCTAGAAGTGAAATTAACAACTGAAGAACTGCCAGACTGTTTTCCAAAACGACTACACCATTTTCCAATCCCATCAGCAGGAAGGCTTTTTAAAAATGTTTCTGTTTTAAATGTGAAAACAATGTAGACATCACAAACATTTATTTTAAAGGTCACTTTTTGTTTCAAAGCAGAAAACTCTAATTTGTATTGACTTGGGCCTGTCTTCAGTGACCTAGCAAAAATACATATTCTTTGTCTTCATTCTAACCATTGCAGCTACCACTATTTGAGAGGCTACTACGTGCCAGCCCTAGGAAGGACATTTTACATGCCCTTGTACAATAACCTTACAGGTCAGTATTACTCTTGTTTTAAAGATGTAGAAACTGAAATTTCCACAAAGATTAAATAATGTGGAAAAATTTAAGAGTCAGAATTCAAACTCAGGCGTAACACTAAACTCTGTCCTCCATCTTACTGCGCAACACTGTCTCACGTCCCCTATGAAAGCTGCCTCTCCTGCAGAGGGTGCTTTTAGTCCATCTTTTCCACGTTGGTTCCAGAATAAATGATTCACTGTAAAACCCAACAAACCCAGAAATTTTTCTAAAGCTTAATATATATAAATATACATATATTACATCATACATGACACATACATATCTAACATATATAACAATAAAGCCGTCTTATTTAAATGCTATTGAAAAATCCTATTAGAGCCTATTATAAAACTGTTTTTACCTCTCTCTTTCTTCTTTCTTCCTGAGTACGATGTAAAAGAGAAGCCTTTTCTTCCTAAACACAAAGAGATCCAATTATTATAGAATGTTTTGACCCAAAACATCCCATCAAACTATCTGCCTTAACAAGAAGTCTGAGACACAAGAGGTTAAATGGTTTTCTGAGGTCACAGATCTAATTAAAGTTGGTATTTCAGTAGTTTTCTAAGAATAAAATCTGATTTTTTTAAACACAAAGCGAGTTCAGGTAAAGCTGGGGAGACAGGAAGATCCATGCGCTGTATCAATGTTAACATCCCCATTCAGATGATAACACTAGCTTTGCAAAATCCGGTCCCAGGGGAAATGAGGCAACATGAACAACGGATCTTTCTGTATTATTTCTAACAGCTGCACAGGAGTCTACAATTATCTCAATAAAAATTCAAAGAAAAATCAATTTATTTACTGTTATCAACATTAAAACCATTTTTTTCATCCTAAGTAAAACTAAATTTTGAACAAAATTACTTGGTATGGAGAAGGAACCAAATAATAAATGGGAAAATTAAACATTGCAAATAAAATAAAAATACATAAAGACAACCCTCCTCTCCCCAAAACTGTTCCAGTCAATAAATAATGTATGGGCATTTTATTTTTGTAAATTTAATCCAAAATAAAATTAAAGACCTACCCAAGAAACTACATATGAATCATTAGGAAAATCTAAAAACTTAAATTTCTTAACAAAAACATTTACCCTGTCAGAAGTGTTGGAAGGCAAGTAATTACCAATTTATAATAATACACTGATATGTGAACAAACACACAATGTGTACAATGAAAAGTTTCTCACTGACAAAATTTAAAGCCAAAGAAATAAATCTTCCAGATATTTTCCATTGTAGAAAACTTCATTTCTTGAATTTCAAATAAAAAACCTTTACCTACCACATGTCCAAAATCAGAAAATATTTTGTTTAAACTTAATCAAAAAGAGAATGCAAAATCTGAAATAAAATGTGAAAGTTATGATGTTCAGAATTATGGAAAACTTAGATAAAAACACAGACATATTTTTGATCAGTATCTTTATTCATGAATAGAACTGGTATGTTTATATCTATAGTTTCTTTTCTCCATTTGTCCAGATTTAATATATGTTCATTATTTCATTACAGCTAAAGAGCTCAGATTTCCTAAAATGGTATGTACACCGTTACAACTATGAAAAAAGGTACTTAATGTCTGAAATTAAATAAACCAACATTTTACCTTTAAAAAACGATACATGTGAAAAAAAAAGATACATGTGGGAAAAGTCATTAATTTACTTCCACACACCGATCTGAGCTTAGTTGTCACTAATCTAAAGTCCCATGGCCCCAAGGACCTCATGTGTTTCTTTCTGCCATGTCCTTGTCATCTGCCTCAGTGTCTGGCACAGTAGATGTTCAATAGTCACAAAACAAGTGGATGAACATTTCCTTTAGGTAAAACAAAGCAGTCTAAATGAAAGAGTAACTGTAACAGTTGCAATATTTTAAAAATCAAAATAGGTACTAAGTATCAAAAAGCATAATCAGACTCTAACTGAATGCTAGAATTTCTTAGCGATTCCACTTTGAGTCTGAAGCTTATGGTGTGCAAGGAGCCATGAAAGCAGAAGAGGCAGCGCGGGCCATGCTGACGGCGACTATTCTTAGCTTCAGTACCTGTGGAAATAGGACGCCATGTCAATGTGACAAGTCAGTGCTCTTGCTGTGCTCAAGGGCTAGAAAGTTTCCTACCTGAAAGCTCATTTCAAAAATAATAAGTATAGCAGGCAAATCCAAAGTATTGAATACGCACACCCATGAAAAATCATGACGTGATTTCACGAATGAAACTGCATTTTAAAAAATATTAAGGCCCTTCAAAGAGTATTCAAGCTCCTTAAATACTTTACAGAAAAAAGAGAAAGGTCTATAGGTAGAGGCCAACCAATCCCTCCATCGAGTCGGTCACACCAGAGAGCTGACTCTAGGGATAGCGCCAGCAGCCACCACCACTGATCTGTGTACGCCCACTCCCTGTGCCCTGGCAAACGTGTGTGACACACAAAGCACTACCAGGGCCGGGGGCTTGGCCTCCGTGCTAAGCAACACTTGGAGCCCTTGGATGAGGTGAATTCTGCACTCCTCAGAACAAACAACCCTATGAGGCAAGCACCATCCTTTGTCCTGTTTACCGATGAGAAAAGGGAGGTTCAAAGTGAGGTTCAAGATCTGAACTCAGATGGGCACAGAGCCTAAGCTGTCAGCAGCGCGCTATTTACTTTGAAAAAGAACATCACATATGATCTTATTACATTTTGGGAAATTAAAAAAAGTCGATTGTGTGCATAATCCATAAGTAATTTGGAAGGTGTCTACCAGAAAGGAAGCCGGTGGGGAAGAAGCCACAAGAAGGAAATCGGGATCACCCCAAACTCTGCATGTCCTGAAAGCATGGGGCGCAGCCACGCCCCTGAACCACGTGACTCTCGTCCTCCCCATCTCGGAGAACAGCTCCAGTCAAAGGCATTCATTCCAGTGAGGCACTTCCTCCCTCAGCTAAAACTTACGGCGGCGTCAGGGCGTCAGGGCGTCAGGATCGTGCTCGGTGCCAGGCAGGGTTAGGTCAACAACGCGTTTGTTCCCCAGGAGCTCAGTCTGGTGGAGAAGAGAGCCTGTTTATGAGGCCCTCCTGCGGGGCAGGCACGCCTGAATAAGGTGGACTCAGTCCTTGCCTGCGAGCCACACTTGACACACTTTACGAGACGCCTCGGGATGAGCCAGCAGGGAGGGGGAACAGGAACACCGCCTCAGGGACTCGGAGGACACTCGGAAGGGGAATTCACGACATCTTGGAAGGAAGCGTTCAGCGGGTGAGAAGATGGAAGAATGTCCCAGCAGAGGGAGAAAACCCGGGAAGCAGCTGGGGGAGAAAGCAGGGGACGAAGGAGGGGGAGACCCTCTGTGTAGGGGTCAGAGGTCAGAATCGAGGCTCCGTCTGGGAGCCCCATCTCTGGCTCTGCGATCCGCACAAGCAGACAGGGTGACATGGAAGGGGATGATGACAGAAGTACAATTCACTGACCCGAGATGTCTAGGGGACTGACAGTAAGTCAGCAGGTAATGAAAATAACGGAAGAAGGATGGACTGAAAATTGAGAGTTCAAATCCCCCCATCGCTTCAGCTTGAACTCCTTCCGTGGCCTCTTCCTTCTGCGGCTTCCCAATTCTGTCTGCATCACCTCACACAGGGTGCCACCCTTTAAAGCAAACAAAACACTGCCATCTAGTCTAAAAACCATCCCTAAAAGATCGCTGAACACAAAGAAAACCATCTCTTCTCAAAGCTCAATTCTGTAAATTAATCAGACGTGTATAAAGCCTGCTACACGGCCCTTCTTTTTCGATGTCACAGCAGCCTGAGGACCTACGTTCGGTGCCACCAAGGAACTCTAGGGGATCGAGTTCACACACAGCCTGAGCGCAGGAATACCAGTCACACGCTGTGGTCCCCACCCCCCCTCAGGATGCTGCCACAGCACAGGGTCCCCGCTCACCACCCTGCTCCGCGGCCTGGCAGGGCCCGGCCTTCCCTTCTGACACCAACAGCACCTGGTGAGCACCCGCTGGCTCAGGTGACACGGCTCCACTGCGGTCCCTTCCGTCCCAGCCGCCAGCCACCATGACCCTTCCTGCCCCTGCTGGACCGGCCAGCCCACTAATGTGGACAGATTGCTTTGGCACATACGACAGTCATCCAGGTGTATTCAACACGCGGGAAATGACTGGATCTGCAATGGGCACATCACGGGGACCAGACAGGTATCACCTCCAAAGACATGGCCTCCCTTCAGCGAATGATGCCAAAGTGCTGGCGTGGCTGCGAGAACTTTGGACAAGATGCGTTTTTGGTCCTCGGAGCAGAAACTAAGACAATAAAACTTGACCTGCATCAGTTCAAACAGCAAGTACTGAACGATGCAAGTACAAGCAGGTCCCGCAAGGACTCGATCCATCTCAGAGGAGGGGCGGCTCTAGGCGCCGCTAAGTGACAGGACCTGCTGCCTGGACAGGGGAGTGAGTGGCCCTGCAGGGCCCACCGCCACAGACAGGAAGACACACCCAGGCTGCGGGTCCGCATACCATGCTCAAACCGTAACCCTGGTGATGTTACACACTGAGCGGGGTCTGTACTTTTGTGCCTGACACGGACTCTAGAGGGAAAAAAGTGTCTATTTAAGGAGACACGTGTTTTTATCTTAGTGCACTTGGAGAGAAGAGAGTAAACGTTACTTTAATTGTATTTGTTTCTCTTTCAATAAGTTTAAGTTCCTTAAGAATAAGGTCTGTGTCTTACTCCTCTTTATAACCCTGATATTTAGCCTTGTGCCCAATTTAATGACTGAAGAATTAAATTTAGAAAGAAGTAAAGGTACAGCTGGGAAACCTGAAGCTTGACAGGCTGTTCGTCACTCACCTACTGAGGCTGACGTCAGAAAGACCCACGGCTTCCTAGCAGCACTGTGTAGTGCCACCCTAACGAGAATAACGGCCAGGCTAATGCCAAGTCCAATCGACAATTCCAATGTTCCGAATTCCCTCAGGAAGTGAACACGTCATTTCGGAAGTGCCCTAAGCTGTTGTGAATGTGCTTGGCAGTCCTTGCCCAGCCAGGCCCTCTCATCCATGGCGGTGAGCCCCTGGGTGGACAGGCAAGCTCCTTCGAGCCCTGCAAGCTCTTGCTGAACCCCTAGAGCAGTCTCTAACAGGCCACTGCCCCAAACCTTGACCGGGCAAACAGAGAGACCCATAACACAGCCTATGGTGAGTTTTAGCGGAAACCAGTGGGAGGGTGACAACAGAGGTGGGGAAAGCGGCCATGCAGAGCTCGGGCACACAGAGTACCTACGCTCAGGGTGGAGGGGGAGCAGTGGGCGGTGAGGGGCGCTTCCTAATGCCCGTGGAGAGAGGGAGGGAGCACCTAGGTGACTCGCACGCAGACTCTGAGACCACCCTCCTCGTCCTCCAGTGTCGCAGG